TTATTTGAATTGAGAATTCGCAAGTATTAGCTTGCCCAGAGGCCTGCAGCCTTCATTTCAAGCACCAAAGGTTTTGCTTTGAGCTTTCTTACAGACCACAGACCATACGATATAGGAGCAGACTTAGGCCATTCAGCCCATCGAGTCTGCTTCACCATTCGATTCTGGCTGATATATTTCTCAACTCCATTTTCCTGCCTTCTCCCCGTAATCCTTGACCCCACTACTAATCAAGAACGTATGTTCTTAGCCCTCACAGCCTTCTGTGGCAATAAGTTCCACAGATTCACCACCCTCTGGTTGGAGAAACACCTCCTCATCTCAGGTCTGAAGTGTTATACCTTCATTCTGAGGCAGTGCTCTCTCTCTCCTGTTAGAGGAAACATCCTCTCCATGTCCACTCTATCCAGACTGCTCAGTATTCTGTAAGTTTCAATGAGATCACTCATTATCCTTCTAGACTTCATTGAGTACAGACCCAGAATCCACAACCACTCCTTATGTGTCAAGCCCTTCATCCTCAGGATCATGTAAATATCCTCTAAACCTCCTCCAACGCCAGCACATCCTTCCTTAGATATTGGCCCAAAACTGCTTATAATATTCAAAATGCTGTCTGATCAGAGCCTTATACAACCTCAGCAGTACATTTCTGCTCTTGTATTCTAGACCTCTTGAAATGCAAGAATCAGAAGCCTTCAATGTAACATTGGCAAATTGTTCAGAATTTGATTGAAAAATCTTCACCCTACTCCAGCAAACCTGCAATTGGCTTAGGAGTCTATTGCACCAGCTGTCTTCTGGCAGGCCCTGTTTGGGATGCCCAGTGAGTGCCCAATGTTAGGATACTGTTATAGACCCTACCAAATGCCCTCAAAACATTCAGAAGATAGTCTAGACTCTACCTTTTTTCTTACTTTAAAGGTAAATGTAAGGTGTTATGTTCCAGATGCAATTCAATTGGTCAAACTGCTGGATTTAAAGCAAAACACATTTTATTCATCCACTATGGTTAAAATAGAACTAAAGAAAGAATGAATTGGAATAACAATTCTACTGGAAAACTTAGAATAATAGAAACAATAACTATTGCTAATTAACTGTTCCAATATAGCAACATCCCATAAACACACCCTTGGCAAAAGGCAAATTCAGAAAACAGATTGTCTCTCATTCAATTCCCGCAGCAGGAAGACAACCCCTGCTTTTGGCTGTAACCGAGAGAGGGAAAAAAATAGCTTCCACTTCTTCAAGACCCTATCAGCAACTGCTGAAAGCTAAAACTAAAAATCCTGGTTCTGTGGGAACTTGACCACACCCATTCAGGCTACTTCTATTGTTCCAACTTTTAAAAAAAACCCAAGGCCTAACAAGCTGTTGACTCTAGTGACTCTTTTAGACTGCTCAATACCTCTGTCTCAAAACTTTTCTTTTAAAAAAAAACACAGGACAAATACACCTCTTAAAGGTACAGTACTGTTACAGGCACCAACCAGCCAACCAGACAGCCGGCTGTACTGGACTTCGTATTAACCAACAAGATTAATTACTGACCTCATAGTGCACATGTCCCTGGTAGCAGTGACCATAACATAAATGAATTTTGCATACAGTTTAAAGAAGAAAAATTAGGGAATTAATTTAAACTAAGGCAATTATGAGGGCATGAAAGCAGAGCTAGTGAAAGTGAACTGACAACGTAGCTTAAGGGTTGTGCAAAAGAGCTTCAGTGGCAAACTTTAAAGGCACATTCCAGAAAGCACGGAACAGATTTATATATTCCACCAAATATGAAAAAGTCAAAGATACCTTCAAACTCAAGAAAAGACATTAATTGTGAAGATATGTGGCAGGTCAGAAAATTGGAGCGAATACTAAAAACATCATAAAACAAAGAATTACAGAATAAATAAGAGGAAAAAAATTAGAATACAAGAGAAAGTTTGTCAAAAAATTGAAAATAGGTAAAAGAAGTTTCTTCAGATATTTAAAGAAAGAAAAGAGTTATCAAATTAAGTGCTGGTCCTATAGAAAATAAGCTAAGGGAATTTGTAATGGAGGATGAAGAAATGGCAGAGGAATTGAACAGATATTTTGCGCCAGTCTTCTTTAGAAAGCATACAATGACGTCCTGGAAATAAAAGCAAATCTGGAATTGAAAGTGAGGCAGGAACTCAAGAAAATTACAATTTACTCAGGAGTGCTGAGTAGATTGTTGGAACTACAATTTGACAAGTCTCCGGGTCTTGATAGATTTCATTCTAGGATCTTAAAAGAAGTAGCTAGTGGCATAGTTGATGCATTGGTCTTAACTTTCCAAACTCATTGGTTTTGGGGGAGGTCCTTTCAGATTGGAAAATAGCTAATGAACTCCTTTATTCAAAAAAGGAGGGAGGCAGAGAGCAGAAAACTATAGGCTAGTTAGCTTACCATCTGTCTTAGGGTAAATATTGGAAGCTATCATTAAAGACATTATTACAGGGTGCTTGGATAAGTTTGTGTTAATCAGGAGCCAACATGATTTTGTAAAAGGGAAATCATGCTTAACTAATTTATTGGAGTTCTTTGAAGATGTAGCTTGTACTGTGGATAAAGGGATCAGTGAATGTATTGTACTTAGATTCCCAGAAGATATTTAATAAGGCACCACATCAAAGGTTACTGCAGAAAATAAAATCTAATGGCTTTGGAGTGACATATTGGCATGGATAGAAGATTGGCTGACAAACAGGATGCAGAGAATAGGAATAAATTGGTATTTTCCAGGCTGGCTGGATGTCACAATGGTGTGTTACGGAGTTTAGTGATGTTTTACAATTTATATAAATAATATGGATGAAGTGTTCAATGGCATGGTAGCTAGATTTGCTGATAACACAAAGATAGATAGGAAAGTGTGTGAATAAGACATAAGGAGCCTACAAACGGACATAAATAGTTTAAATGAGTTGGCAAAGATCTGGCAAATGGAGTACAATGTGGAAATCTGGGAAGTTCTTAATTTTGGGAGAATAACAAAAGCATATTATTCATAAGGTGAGAGATTGCAGAGATCTGAGATGCAAAGAGATCTGAAACACTAACAGAAATTACAGAAAAGAAATGGAAAGCAGAGTTAATGTTTTGAATCCAGTGATCCTTCATCAGTACTGAATCTGAAGAAGCGTCACTGGGCTCAAAATGTCAACTTTGCTTCCTCTTCACAGATGCTGCCAGACCTGCTGAGTTTCTCCAGCAATTTCTGTTTTGTTACAGATCTCCAGTATCCACAGTTCTTTGTTTTATTGCAGTCATCTGGGTGCCCTACTGCATGAACTGCAGAAGGTTAGTTTGCAGATGCAGTGACAATTCAGGAAAAATAATAGAATGTTACATTCTGTTGTGAGGAGAATTGAATGCGGGAATGAGGAGGTAATACTTCAGTTATACAGGGTATTGGTGGAATTACATGTGGAGTACTTCGTACAGTACTGGTCACTGTACTTATGGAAGGATACTAATGAATTGGAAACAGTTCAGAGAAAGTTTACTAGATTAATGCCTGGAATTAGCAGATTGCCTGATGAGGGGAGGCTAGATAGGCTAGGCCTGTACCCTCTGGATTTCAGAAGAGTCAGATGCAACTTAATTGAAATACATAAGATTATACATAATATAATACTTTCTGGGTAGAGGCAGAAAAGATGTTTCCTTTTGTGGGAGAATCTAGAACTAGGGTCATTCAAAATTAAAGGATCAGACTTTTAAGACAGAGATGAAGAAAAAAATTTCTCTCAGAGTATTGTGAGTGTTTCAAATTCCCTTCCTCTAAAGGCAGTGGATGCAGAACCTTTAAATATTTTTAAGGCAGATTGTTGATAACAAAGGGATGAAAGATTATTGGGGGTATGCAGGAAAGCAAAGTTACAGTTAAAATCAGACCAGCCATGATATTATTGAGTGGAAAAGGAGACTCGAAGGGCTAACTGGCCTACTCGTGTTTCTTATTTATATGCCGTTTGAATCTTTACACAGCAAAATGAAAGGGAGAACCTAAAGCACCCTCTTCCTATTTCAATACCAATGGTCAGTCTGAACCTCCTACAGGTGGAGGTCAATTTGAAGACAACATAAAGCCTGGAGATCCTTGGTATATCATAGGCAAAGGTTCATGTAACAAGTCTTCACTGCTTTGTAATCTTCACCTGTAATGAAGGGTGCTAGTGGCCAAGTGCAGTGAAGAGAGAAGTCTACTTTCCAGTCTTCCCCATTAGATGGTTGAACTTAGACCTTTAAAAGAACATGTATTAAACTTAAATAACTTAATATAAGCCAATGATGAGTATTACTGTCTGGTGGTCATAATGATTGGTGCATGGTTCCTTCTTCAAGCCAAAAACCATTGCCCTAAGCTTCTGAAACTTGCAAAGCTAACTACACTGTAAACATTAATAAAACAAGTAGACCTGCCAATGGCATTCCTCACAAATAATCAAGAATTCAAAGTGCATAACGTAACTCAATTTTTCAAGACAAAAGAGGCTTGGTGATTTTATTGATAATGTGCGAGACATATAGATATAGAGGAATTGAACTCCCGAAATAAACAAATACAGCGCATGATCTGGTTTAACAGAAATCTAAACTACAATATTCAGCTATTACCTTTAATAGCTTGCTAGCAAAATAACTCTACAAAAGGAAGTTAAAAATTCTAACTAATTATTTTAAATAATTAGAATTAAAAATGGAACTATGCATTGGAAACAGATAATGGTGTCAAGATTCAACCACCACCAAGATTATTGTAAAAAGAGAATCAATTTCTGAAACAGAGTAGATGAACGATCGGGATATTTCCTCTGCAGTATTTTCATATGTTTACACTCTACTTCACAGAAGCAGATATGTTCCAGGAGAGTTCTGCTCAATAGTTGAACTGCTTTTAAAGCGTCTGAAAAAGCTTAAAATAGTTCAATTTTCAACAATCATTTGAATTAACATTAAAAGTGTAATCTTACCTAGTAAATTTGTCAACCATAGAGCCAAGTCTTCCTTCATTGGTAATAAACTAGCCTCATGCCTGCTCGCCAACCACTGACTGTACTGATGCACATCAGACAGGCTTGGCCCCGGCTCCTTCGGACTGAATGTGCTGCACATCTTTTCTTATCCACTTGTTCTATCTAGCATGAAAGAAAAATAAAATGTCCGTGATGCTATAGAAGGGACAACAACAGGTGATGATGTGCCAAGCATAAACTTTATTTTACTTCAGAAATATTTTGGTACTTATTTTTCAATAGTTGAAATGAATGCAAAAACAAAGAAGCAAATAAAGGTACATTGATTCCAAAACAACAAAACATAAATTACCATTAGTTTCACTCACTGTAAAGAATCATACATCAGCAGTTACTTGAGAATCAAAAAAGGATTACATCATTTCTAAAAGAATCAAACTACTTATTTTAATAGTGTATACCATATTTTAAAGTTTTTAATATAGTATTTTAAGTTTTACCGTGATCCCAAACAGCAGGACTTAGCTACATATGGCACTAACAATGTTGCTGGCTAAACAAACTTCCAATTAGACCGTTTTTCCTGTTTCAGAACAGTCCTCTTTGTACCTGAATGTGAGCTTACATCTCAAGTTCTAAGCAGCATTATCAAAACCAGTGACCTGGTTTAGTACAGTTTACTGTACCCCTAATGGCATGCAGCAGTCTGTTTCTTTTTCAACAGCATTATAAGGCATAATCACTCCCCTCCAAACGAACAGTGGGTTTTTACATAAGCCTGCACAGTAGAGCATTCATTCCATCTTCTCCGTAAAGAGCAGTGTTACAATGTTTGGTCTCATCCGTAATTTAAGCTATCAAACTGATATTTACGAAAGGGTTGCGTATGAAAGGAGCAAGCAATCATAGAGACTCTGCAATTTCTCCAGCACTTCTTTCAGTAATTAGTCTATCATTGCCATTAATACCGTCTATATACACAGAATGAGTCCAAGTTAAGCTTCCTTAGTGTAATTAAGTGATTAGTAACACAATGCACTGAAATTACTTTCTTATTATAATCGGTATGATGTGATATAATAATCTGAAAACTTTGGAGGATTCAATGGGCAAAATGAGTGCATTTTTGAGTCTGTCGCTTACTATTTTTCCTTCATAAATGCACTAACGTTGCAGGAACTCATTTTGAGGTTTCACGCAACAACAAAAAAACTTACTAGGACAATTCAGTATTTAAGAATTAACGCGTCCAATTTAAAAAAAAGTGTAAAGGATTCCCAAAGCGATATCAAAACAGCGACTGTAGTCACACTGTCGGATACTTCGTACATTTTCATTTACTTGGGGATAAAATTATACATTCTCAATTGTTTCAAATTGTAAATTCAGACTGCGACTAGCTTCGCAATACGCCAAAATGCCGCCTTCTATCGTATACTGTAGCGTCGTGGAAGCTCATCATTGCAGGCGAAACACTGCGCTGCTCCTCACCCAGTACAAGCGGTTCTGTTCTGGAGCTTTCACTCTCTTTCTTCTGCAATGCTACACTCTGCGGATCGACCTTCTCCTTTGCACGTGTGAATTAAACAACACTTTTCACAATCGGTCTCCTGCATGACGAATTCTTCAATTCATTAAGTGTGCGTCTTCGTATGAAGCATCCTAGCCGAGCTGATGAGAAGAGGAGCACAAGACATTCCTTACACAATCACATCGTCCTGTCAAACAAGAACGGAAGTCAGTGGCTACAAATACCTTTTCCACTACCAAACACACTGTCAATGATTTATCCCTGAAACGCGTATAGGTTTCAACATCTGGCAAATTCAGATTATTTGTACATTGCTTTCACAAATTGTTTTTCCTATGTTGAGGGTAGGCGAATATAAAATAATCTTTTTCACATAAGTTGCATGACACTGGGCTTTTATGCTAATTAACAATTTGGCCATGCAAAAAAAGGACATTAGTCAACCGTTATCGCTGTCCGTAGATCCAGTTTCAATTTTGTGCTGACTCATTTTATCTTACTTCAGTTTGATTTTTTTAAAAGAAAAAAAGATCTGGCACAGAATTCTGATGTGGTTATCTTGCAACAATAGATTAAATAATTGGCAACGTGTTTGTAATTCGTGGCTATGTGTTTGCAACTGGGTGTCTGGGTTACATAGCTGCCTGGCACGTCCAGTGATTCAGATGGTCAGGAATGAGTTTTTGATAACATTTTGAAGGTGAGCACTGGTGGCCTCAAAACATTCTTCCCTCACCAAAATTGCTATAAATAAATTTGGTAGTCATTGAAACATTGCTATTTGTGAGTTCATCTGTTGCACAAAATGGCTGCTACTTCCTGACATAAAAATATTCACAAATCCTTAAAGTAGTCACTTGGAATTGAGGACTTTGAGATGTAGCACAATTCCAGTTCATTCCGTTTTTGAAGATTTCACTGAAACTGCAACGTTTTGTTCATATCATACAGATTTTAGAAATGAATGCTTCACTATAATCCAATCAACATTCCATCGCACTTTTTTCCCATGTGACATTACCCAATGGTGACACACTTAATTATTGAAAAGCTTCTGGATCTGCAAAACAATATTCAGAGAGTAGACAGGATATTCCTGAGCAGGCATGAAGTCTATTAAAGTCGGGACTACTACTTTTGGAGGCATGGTCATTTAAACAACACATATCTCTACCAGGCTATCATGTTCTGAGTATTTATGAACTCTCAAGTGGTAACTGGTTCATTGTTGGCAGGAAAAGAAGTTCAGCTTTGCTTCAAGGCTTGCATGTTTCAAAACAGTTAGGAAAGAGACAGAATTAACATGGATAACTCAGTGGAGCTGGAGGAACAGAGCAGGCCAGGTAGCATCAGAGGAGCAGGAAAGTTGATGTTTCGGTTTGTGACCCTTCATTAACATGTATCACAGATTTGGTAGACTGTAGCCCATCAACCTGGATTATCTATTAATTTTCTTCATGGGATTAGCTCATGGTTAAAATTAGGTTTTAGAGATTTGACTGATGAAATAATTGAGTCCACCATTGGAGGGTCATACATTTAAAATTATTGGCAAAAGAACTAGAAGAGAAATTAGGAGATTGTATGCTTGCAATGGGTTGTTCGAATCTAGAATGCACATTACTGCACTTGAAAGAGTAGAGGAATCTGATGTCATGTGAACTTAAAGTTTTTTGAGAAGATCTGTAGTTCAGGTTGTGGATGAAATTGTAGACTTGCTTGCTAAGCCAGTGAGTTTGGTTGCAGACGTTTCATCACCCTGCTAGGTAACATCGTCAGTGCACCTCCATTGAAGCGTTGGTGTTCATCCCACTTGTTATTTATATGCCTCAGTTTGCTGGGGTGTTGGGTATTACTTCCAGTTTTGTTTTTCAGTGGTTTGTATATCAGGTCCAGTTCAACGTGTTTGCTAATGGAGCTCCGGTCGGAATGCCAGGCCTCCAGGAATTCCCTGGCATGTCTCTGTTTGGATCATGCTATTATGGGTGTCCGAGTTAAATTCATGTCCCTCTTTGTCTGTGTGTATTGAGACCAATGAGAATTGGTCGTGTCTCTTGGTGGCTAGTTAGTATTCGTGTATCCTTATCATCAGTTTTCTATGACACCATAGTTAAATAGTCACAGGATAAATTCAAAGGGAGGATAAGGGATGAAGTGAATTCAAATAGTTGAATGGGGGAGGTGATGGCCTAGTGGTATTATTGCTAGACTGTTAAACCAAAGACCCAAATAATGTCTGGGGACATGGGTCCGAATCCTGCCACTAGCAGATGGTGGAATTTGAATTCAATAAATATCTGGAGTTAGGAATCTAATGATGACTGTGAATTGATTGTTGGCAAAACCCATCTGGTTCACTAATGTACTTTAGGGAAAGAAACTGCCATCCTTACCTGGTCTGGCCTACATGTGACTCCAGACCCATAGCAATGTGATTGACTCTTATCTGCCTGCTGGGCAATTAGGGATGGGCAATAAATGCTGGCCTAGCCAGTGATGCTCTCATCCTGTGAATGAATAAAGGGAAAGGTGATGACATTTGGGGTTTTCTTGACTGGAGGGAAGGGAAGATTTTAAAACAAATCCTGGTGATTTGGATAATGTTATTGGCTAATATTTTGTAGTTTACTTTTTTGTTGTTTCGTCACTGGGTCTTAGGTTGGAATCCATACAAATTGCTGAGGTGGAAGTCTCTCTCTCTTTGTTAACTCTTAGGATCCTAAATGCAATTAATTTCAATTAGGAATAGGTTAATGACATGAAACAGATCAAAATATGATCAAATTCAGTATCAAGTGTAATGACATGGTAGAGGGAACTTTATTCTGCATCTAAGCTATGGCAGACCTAAAACTGACCAAGAACACTCAGTCATTGCAGTCAAAGACAAATGTTCCCATTACACCTACATTGACATGGTTCTCCAACAGTATCTTAACATTCAAAAATAAAACACAATGAGGACTACACTGTAGATAACACAGTGTGGAGCTGGAGGAACACAGCAGGTCAGGCAGCATCAGAGGAGCACGAAAGCTGACGTTTGGGTCTGGACCCTTCTTCAGAAATGGTGGAGGGGGAAGGGAGCTCTGAAATTGGGCGGGGGGTGGGGTGGGGCGGGGGAGGGTAGGTGGGATGGTGATAGGTGAGTGCAGGTAGGCAGTGGTGGGAATGAGGCCGGGGGTGGGGAGACGTGAGGGTTGGGAGCCCTCAACCCAGGGGTCTCAATGTGGACTTTACTAGTTTCAAAATCTCCCCACCCCCAGCCTCATCCCATGACCAACCCTCCCACTCATCCCCACCTCCTTGACCTGAGACAACCTGTCCGTCTTCTCTCTCCGTCTTATATGCTCCTCCCACCTCACTGACCAATCCCCACCACTGCCTACCTGCATTCACCTATCACCATCCCACCTACCTTCCCCAGCTCCACCCCTCCTCTCTATTTATTTCAGAGCTCCTTTGTCCCTTCCCCATTTCTGAAGAAGGGTCCCGATCCGAAACATCGGCTTTCCTGCTCCTCTGATCCTGCCTGGCCTGCTGTGTTCCTTCAGCTCCACACTGTGTTATCTCTAACTCCAGCATTGGCAGTTCTTACTATCTCTAGGACTACATTGTAGATGGAACCAAAATAATGCTAGTACAGGCAGGTACAGCTACAGCATGTAAAAGGCATTTGGACAGGTACATGAATTAGAAAGGTTTAGAGGGATATGGGCCAAATGCAGGCAAATGGGAAAAGTGGTTAGCACTGTTGCCTCACAGTGCTAGGGACCTAGGTTTGATTCCACCTCGGGTGACTGCCTGTCTGGTGTTTGCACATTCTCCTTGTGTCTGTGTGGGTTTCCTCCAGGTGCTCCAGTTTCCTCCCACGGTCCAAAGATGTACAGGTTAGGTGGTTTGGCCATGCTAAAATTGCCCCATAGTGACCAGAGATGAGCAAGCTAGATAGGCTAGCGAAGGTAAATATAGAGTACAGGGCAGTGTTGGGGGCTGGGTCTGGGTCTGGGTGGGATGCTCTTCAGAGGGTAGATGCAGATTTGATGGGCCAAATGGCCTCTTTCAGCAGTGTAGGGATTCTATAATTCTATGATTTAGTTTTGAAAACCAGGTTGGCATGGAGAAGCTGGACCGAAGTGTCTGTTTATGTGCAGTGACTATATGAATACATAAGAACAAAGTACTGCAGATGCTGGAAATCTAAAACAAAAACAGAAAATGCCAGAGAAATTGAGTAAAGGGAGTATGTTAAATAAGAAAGTAGCACATTAATAACAAAGGAAAGATTGTAGTGAAAGGTAATTAGGTTGAATTAGAGCAAAAGCCCTTGCAATTGGTGAAGGCAGAGATAAATTTGGAAACAAAAGCAACAAACCATAGATATACATCTGGATAAATGAACAGAAAAGGTTTTCCAAGTAAGAACTTCTACAAACTAGATACTTAACTATAATTATTAATGAAAGCCATGAAGTATCAACAAATTAAGATGTGTAGATGCAAAATTAGTGATAATGAAAAACAAACAAACGTCAATCTTCAATAGCTTCCAATGGGATTTTAAAAATGTTAATATTTATGCCATCAGAGTCTTTGATTAAAACTGAAGATATATTTTTAGAATATTTTTATTCATTCATGGGATGTGGATTTTGTTTTCCTTTATTCATTAATGGGAGGAGGACATCACTGGCTAGGCAGCATTTATTGTCCATCACTAACTGCCCAGAGGGCAGTTCAGAGTCAACCACGTTGCTGTGGGTCTGGAGTCACATGTTGTCCAGGCCAGGTAAGGATGGCAGTTTCCTTCCCTAAAGGACATTAGTGAACCAGATGGGTTTCTCCCCCAATAATTGACAACGTATTCATGGTCATCATTAGATTCTTAATTCCAGATTTTTTTTTATTGAATTTAAATTCCACCATCTGCTGTGGCAGGATTTGAATCCCAGTGCCCAGAATGTTATCCAGTTCTCTAGATTAACAGTCCAGCAATAATACCAGTAAGCCATTGCCTCCCCCTGGTGATGAGCTGCCTTCTTTAACTGCTGCAGACCATGAGCTGTCAACGGATTCTGGACAGGATTTTGACTCAGCGACACTGAAGGAACAGCGATATATTTCCGAGTCAGCATCAAAAGTGGCTTGAGGGGGAACTTGCAG